GATTCTTTGGCTAACAACTAAGCGCGGGTTCGGATTTTCGACTGAAGAAGAAAGGAGACGAGCCATTGAGGCAGGACGCCATTCGTAGTTTCGCCTATGAAATTGTGTTTTTGTGTCTGCAACATAGTACGCTTATAATTGAATTTTAATGTGTATCATTAAGGTTTAAGGTGGAGGGTAATCAGCGCGACGCTGTGACGTCTCTTGTTGCTAACGGTGTGGCATCTTTTCTGGTTTCTGTCTACCCAGTTTCAGAAGCGGCGCTTATCGTCAGATCCGGAAGATTTGTCCCGTTGCATCTTTCATCAGTCCACAGGTCGAGAACTAACGCGTGGTAGCCTGAGTGCCTTGGCTCATGTATCGCTAGTGCGATGCGCAAGGTGATATAAGTAGGTGTGCCAGCGTCCGAGCCATTCGTTCGAGCGCGAAGCGTGAGGATGAGGAATTCAAAAGAGCCCCTTTAATTCTACCACGAGGGTCTGTTGCAACACTGATCACAGCGGGCGGCCTCGAAAGAAGTGATTTCATGTCCCACACTCGGGAAGAATGCCCGATCCGATCCTTAGTTGCACGAGCCAGATCGGGCTGGCAGCCAGGACGAGGGTCAGGGAGAGAGATGGCTCCAGCTGACGTCCTGGATACTTCCGGTCAATTTTTTCTTCGGCTTTTGCCGTTCTGCTCTTTGACAACTGACATACAAGGAGTCAACCTTTGTACTCAATCGGTAATGAAGGACCCCTCGGTGAGACCTGCATGTCGGATCTCATAACTGTCTGAGCGCGGCAACTTGGTGGCAATTTGTCATAATCATGATTCCCGCACTGATTGATTGACAGGACCATCCAAATGTGCACAAAAGGCTCCTCCGTGCCTGTATCGTCACGAAACAGCGTAGCGCGGTGGGCTTGAATCGCTTTCCATCCCCGCTGTGCTCGATGGTGAGCAACCTTTGGTTCTACAAGCGGCACTTGAGTTCCAAGAGCCTCAATAGATAGATGCCTGGTCATATGTCGACCGACACGTCACCAGATAGATTGTATTCTTGTGGACTGCTCTACCCATGGGGTGCACTCGAGTTAGCCTGGGTGCGAGGCTCATATGTTGTCCTCTGGCTTTGTACGTCAGTTATATCACATTCCTTTAGTTCTACCGAAGCCAGGCTCGGCCGAAAAGGCAGGCCATTTAACCTGGTTCTCCCTTGATTACGCTGCGTGCAAATCCCTCATGGCATTGTTCTTTATGATAGCGCATGTCCTGACGGCTTTTAAGTAAAATTGACCCCCCCTCCCGCACAATACTCTCAAGCGGTTTAAGCCGCGACGCGCGCCTGAAATTAATCGTCGTATTTCAATGGCCCCTGCACAACTAATTCATTTTACATATCGTATAATTTCCAACATCCCGGCAGTTCAGCTTGGATTATGATAACGCGTGCAGCCGTTCAATTGGCTGCTCAGGCACAACGAGGCGCTGGGATGTACTTGTCTATATGTGGCAGTCCTTCATTCAACTTCTTACAGGGAACCGCTCTTTGCCCTCTGAAGCCTGAAACTGCATGTAAGAGCCTCCGACGCGTGGGTTATTCCCCCCCACGCCGAAGAAGGCCTGCACGGTCCTACATCTAATGGTCAACTGAGAGCCACCGTGGGTATGATCATATGGAGTCGTTAATACCTTCGCGGGGTGACCATTGTCTTGGCCACCCCCCAGAGGATCCACAGGTAATACCAACCCCTGCGTTCGCGGCGCACGCGCGGCGCTGAGCAATTGAAAATTTGTGCCATAACCCTTGGGAACAACACATTGGATTTCCACACGAACTTCTGCCACAGACAATGGGATTATGAAAACCTTACGCACATCTTCTGTCACCACAGGTCAGAGCGGCTTTACATCGGCAGACGTGGATCGCACAGTCACTTCACCCTCCAATGATCTCCGTATGTATTTACTTGAATTTGTCCGCGTCATAATAAAACAATTTCCTTTCACAGACTGCACAGGTTTCCGTTTGGGTGAACAGCGCCTAGTACCACAGCCCTAAAGGGACATGGTGTCGCGCCTTTAATGGGGACAAGGCACCACATTTAAGGGGTTCACGGCTCCTCCAAGATAACTCCTCCCCCTTGCGTCCTTGATATCTGTTCCTTCTCTTCGAGAGCCTGAATACCATGGGGAACAAAGGAGACGTTTGCAATCCGCTAGCACCCCCCAATACACCCTACGACTATTACAACAATAGATCGATAAGTGTGACACTCGGTGTTCGTCAAGCTCCCAGTCCTCTAGTCCGGTTCAGTGATCACTCACTTACTGATCCAGATTGCTGCATTCATCGGGGCTATTTCGGCTACATGCGCGGTTTGTCTACTGTGTTTCGTATTGGTAAGGGTGAATACTTGGTATGTGCTGCTGCAGAATCCTCAGTGGCTTCATGTCCTTAGTGTCGATGGCATCGATTGGGGTGGAAACGTCATTTCACCCCTCTAGGCCTCGTATTTGTCTACTGGATTTCAATGGATGCTATCCAGGGTGTTTCTTCCGCCCTATCATTTAAATGGGCTGTGTCTGGGGATGTAAGCCAAGATGGAAGATACTGTGACGCTCAAGGTGTGTATGATTGCGGATAGCTTGAAGATTTCATGACCTCAACATGCCACCCAGGGGTCCTTCAGCAAATCGGTGATGCAGGAACGGCCCTTTCAGCATTTTTGGTGGCTTTACTGGTCGTCGGATATTATTTTCATGTCGGGTGGATCGTGCATCATCCGAAGACAGTCTCTTGTTGTCTACTTCTGCTATTCCCTGCGTTCCTTATTGTCCTCATCGTTCCACCGTCATCACTGATACACAACCTCTATGGGAATACTGGACTTTGGTGTTGGATAGCTCACCATAGCCCTACGAACGCCAGGCTACAGATCGGCGTATGCTATGCGCTGATGTGGCTTGCGGCGCTCACGTCAATTCTAGGATATGGTTGGGTTCTCATAGGCACCCTCCGTCACGCTGACGCGGAAAGACAGGAAACAGAACACTCCAGTCATGTACCTGTTTATTCAGTGGAAGAAGCTTGGAGGATGATGTGGTACTCTCTTGGTAGGATATCTCCTATTTAACGGTGGATATCATTAATTCACCAATCGTAGCGTATGTTATTGAGGTGGCACCAATTAGCATCATTCGGTTAGTGCAATTTGGTTCAAAGGGTCCATGCCGTAGAGTAGGACCCGGATGGATCATTTTTGCGATGGCCGTGTATAGCGCATCGGGCCTCATCAACACCGGTCTTTGGCTAACGACAGGACGCCGCTTCGGATTTGCAACCGAGAAGGAACGAAGGAGAATTTATGAATCCAACCACTCTGAGCCTGATAGGAACAGCGGTGCACCACCCTCGCTGGATGCGTAATATCATGAATTCTATATATAATCCGCATGCCATCATGAATGTTACAATGGTTTGAGAAAAAAAAATTGTAGTGCTATGGACCGCTGGATTTGTCGGTGGGCGATTATTGCGTCACTAGGCTTCGGTTCAACACAGCAGGCATGGAGTCTAAACAGCATCAGAAGACCCATCCGCTGATGCGGATGACTTGCCTGATTGCTTTTGATTCGATAAAACTAGATGAAACTCTGCCAGCCGCAGGTGGCGGGCTCTGTGTATTGTTGTCTGTATCACGCGTCAGTCGCCCTGTCTATCGTGTTGAGGTAGGGCCAATCAGCATCATCCGGTTTGGTTCGCATGGCCCATGCCCCACAGTGAAGCTTGGATAGACGATATTTGCAATCTCCCTCCTTCAGGCTTTATCAACGCTACTCTTTGGCCAACAACTAAACACGGGTTCGCATTTTGGACTGAAAAAGAAGAAGAAAGGAGACGAGCCATTGAGGCAGAACACCGTTCGTAATTTCACTTATAGAATCGTGTTTTTTTTGTGTGTCTGCAACACAGTACGCTTATAGTTGAATTCTGTATCATTAAAGTTTAAGATCGAGGGTATCAGCGCGACGCCGTGACGTCTCTTGTCGCTAAGGATGTGGCATCCTTTCTGGTTTCTGTCTACCCAGTTTCAGAAGCTGCGTTTATCATCAGATCCGGGAATCTTATCCCCATAGCACCTTTCATCAGTCCACGGGTTGGCGTGCGCGATGCATTCCCGCAGGAGGATGATGAATTCAAAAGAGCCCCTTTCCACCACAAGGATCTGTTGCACACAGAAGCTGATCACTTGCTGAGTAGCGGGCGCCTCGAAGTGTCCCACGCCCGGAGAAATTGCCCGATCCTTAGTCGCGCAAACACCACGTTCCCGATCCCGGATACTTCCGGTCAATTTTTTTTTCTTTTCTCTCCTCGGCTTTCGCCGTTGACTGTCACCTGCAGCGTGTGCGTGCAATGAAGTACCCTCGGCGAGACCTGCATGTTGGTCCTTATAACTGTCTGAGCGTGGCAACTTGGTGCCAAGTTTCTCGTACTTCAGTTGTGCTTATCAAATGACCGCTCGGGCAACCGGATGCCATTCATCTTCGCGAGGCGCCGCGCGGCAGGCAATATCTCGCAATCATGATTCCCGCATTGACTGGCAATGGATCGACAGGATAATCCAAGTGTGCACGAGAGGTGGATTTTATAATCAACCCTCATCGTCACGAAGCCGCTCAGCATGGTGGGCTGAATCGCCTTCCATCCCCGTTGCGGTCGATAGTGAGCAACCCTTGTCTCCACACGCGCCACTTGAGTTCCAAGAACTTCAGTAGACGCCTGGTCGGACTCATGTCAATCGATACATCGCCAGCAGTGATTGTATTCTTGTGGATTGCTCTACCCATAGGGCACAAGCCTGGTGCGAGGCTCGTGTGTTGTCCTCTAGCTTTGCGCGTCAGTTATATCACATTCGTGATATCCTTTAGCTCTATGGGGTTGAAAAGCAGGCCATTTGACCTGATTGTTTCTTGATTGCACAACGTACAAATTCCTCATAGGCATTATCCTTATGGCAGGACGACTTTTAAGTAAAATTAACACATAATCTCAAGCGATTTGAGCCGCTGACGCGCGCGCCCGAAATCAATTACCATGTTCCAATGCCTGATGGGGGTCCTGCACAACTGATTCATTTTGCATATCGTATAATCCCCGGCGTCCTCGCGGTCAGCTTGGATCATGATAACACATGCAGCCGTTCAATTGACTGCTCATGGCTGGGATGTACTTGGCAGACCTCTATTCATCTCACAGGGAAATGCTTCTTTTCCTCTGAAATTTGAAACTGCACCTCCGACGCGTGGGTTATTCTCCCCACGCCGAAAGAGAAGTCCAACTAAGAGCTATCGTGGGTATGATCATATATCTATGCAGTCGTGCGTTCCAACCGTGTCTCTTATGTTTCATGCTGTTGCTTCATTCGGTGGGGTCATTTTGGCGACATGTGAGGTTGGTCAGCTGAGCTACTGTTAGTAAATCGCTGATCCAGCTGCCCATCGCATTGGCCCTCCTGGGCAGGTTCGCCCTGGGACTACGTTGGGACCCCAGAATGAACGAAGGTTACATAATGGCTGTTGTACCTTCGCATCTCCAGAGGCTCCGATCTTCCCACACGAAATAGCATTCGCAGCGCGCGCAGCGCTGCGCAATTTGAATTCTGCCGTAACCCTTGGAACAGCCTCAATACATCGGATTTCCGCGCGAACTTGTGTTCTAGCGCCACAGACAAAGGGATTATGAAAACCCCACGCACATCTTCTATCAGCACAGGTCAGAGCGATTTTGCTTCAGTAGACGTGGATCACACAGTCAATTCACGCTCCCAATGACATTCATTCGGATTTGTCAATGTCATGATAAAACAATTTCCTTCCAGAAACTGCACCACTTTCCAGTTGAATGAACAATGCCTAGCCCAAAAGGAACACGGTCCCGCGTCTTACTGGTATGTGAATGATTAACATTAACCGACAAGGTACCACCACATTTAAGGGGTTCGTGCCACCTCCGTCTGGGCAAGATAACTCTTCCCCACGCGTCCTTGATATCTGTTCCTTCTCTTCGAGAGCCTGGATACCATGGGGAATAAAGGAGACGTTTGCAATCCGCTAGCACCTCCCAATACACCCTACTACTATTACAACAATAGATCGATAAGCGTGGCGCTCGGTGTTCGTCAAGCCCCCAGTCCTCTAGTCCGGTTCAGTGATCACCTCGCTTACTGTTTTATTCTTCCAGATTGCAGCATTTATCGGGACCATTTCGGCTACATGCGCAGTCTGCCTACTGTGCTTCGTATTGGTAAGGGTGAACACTTGGCATGCGCTGCTGGAGAATCTTCTCAGTGGTTTTTTGTCCTTAGCGTCGATGGAATCGATTGGGGTGGAAACGTCATTTCACCCCTCTGGGCCTAGTGTTTGTCTACTGGATTTCAATGGATGCTATCCAGGGCGTTTCTTACGCCCTGTCATTTAAATGGGCTGTGTCTGGGGACGTGAGCCAAGATGGAGGATACTGTGCCGCTCAAGGTGTGTATGATTGTGGATGGCTCGAAGGTTTCCTGATTCCTGAACCCAACATGGCATCCAGGGGTCCTTCAGCAATTTGGCGATGCAGGAACGGCCCTTTCAGCATTTTTGGTGGCTTTACTGGTTGTTGCATATTATTTTCACGTCAGCTGGATTGTGCATCATCCGAAGACAGTCTCCTGTTGTCTACTTCTCCTTTTCCCTGCATTCCTCGTCGTCCTCATCGTTCCACCACCATCCTTGATCCACAACCTCTATGGGAATACTGGGCTTTGGTGTTGGATAGCCCACCACAGCCCTACGAATGCCAGGCTACAGATTGGCGTGTGCTATGCGCTGATGTGGCTTGCGGCGCTCACGTCAATTCTGGGATACGGTTGGGTTCTCATAGGCACCCTCCGTGGCGCCGATGCGGCAAGACAGGAAACAGGACGCTCCGGCCATGTGCCTGTTTATTCAGTGGAAGAAGCCTGGAGGATGATGTGGTACTCCCTTGGTACGATATCTCCTATTTGACGGTGAATATTATATTCCCCTAATTACTTTCATTAATTTACCAATCGTAGCGTATGTTATTGAGGTAGCGCCAATTAGCATCATTCGGTTAGTGCAATTCGGTTCAAAGGGTCCATGCCCTAGCGTAGGACCCGGGTGGATCATTTTTGCCGTGGCCGTATATGGCGCATCGGGCCTCATCAACACTGGCCTTTGGCTAACGACAGGACGCCGCTTCGGATTCGCAACCGAAGAGGAGCGAAGGAAAACTTCTGAACCCAACCACTCCGAGCCTGACGGGAACGGCAGTGTACCACCCTCACTGAAGGTGTGATACATGGATTATAATATAATCCGCATGCCGTCATGAACGTTGCAACAGCTTGGGAAAAAAATCTGTAGCACTATGGACCGCTGGATCTGTCGGCGGGCAATTATGAAAAAGGATTACTTAGGGTTTCATTGAAGTAGCGTGTTGCACGGTGAATCGACATCGTTTCCCAATTCTATTCTGATACGGATGACTTGCCTAATTGCTTCTGATTTAATGAACTCTGCCAGCTGAAAGTTCAGCCGGTGGCGGGCTTTGTGTGTTGTTGTCTGTACCCACGCGCCAGTCACGTCAAATTCACAATCTCTTTGGCATGAGTATGCAGGCTCGAATATCCGCCCAAAGCGGCGCCCCTCCACTACCAACCTGCGCGCGCTCCCTTTGTTCCTTTTCCCTACACGTAGCGACTCCCTCCCTTGTCTTTTCAGCGCCTCCAAAGCGTCCTCGCCTTCTCTCTATCTATACCCACAGGACGTTGTATCCTGCGATAGTACATCATCTAATGATGAGACGACGTACCGCAGGTCCCTAATCATTGTACGCCCCTCTCTTCGTGGTTGTTCCCTAACGATGTCCGCCGCAGCACCATGCAATTCTGGCCTCGTGCAAGGAATATATACTCGAGGCTAAGCTGCAAGCTGGACTCTACTTTAGTAGAGGCCGGGATCCTGCCTAAAGCTGGATGCACCTCGTGGCCGAGAACGAAATAGGTGGTTTGGTGTTGCCCAAAAGAACGAAAAGCTCATCTCAAGCCGACGTGACGTACGTAATATAATATTGAATCCGGGAGATCGCAAGTCTCAGACACTCGTTGAGAGAATTGCCTAGGCCGATAATGGGCTCTCATCAGTCAAATAGAAATGATGTCGGCGGCCATCGCATCAAGTAATAAGGCAACGTGTCTCCCAGCGGCTCACTCGTACCACAAATGTAAGATAAAGGCAGGAAATATAAATAATGATTTTAATGTCCATGCGTATATATATAGGAACGAATGACATAAGAGGAAAATCCTACTAGGGAGGATCCCAGCCTCTACTAATATCCTCCGCATTATCCTCCACGTGAATCGCATTTCCAACAAACAAAATGACAAACTAGGCAGGTTACCAGCCTCTATTAGTATAGGATTACAGACATAGTAAACGTTATCGTTGAATTTCCAACAGGCAGTGCGCGTACATACTGGCGTTAGACTGGGGCCCGGGGTTTACATGTTGTTACAACTTTGACGCCCGGAAAAAGTCCCCACAATTGGTGGGAATTAAGCGGCCATGGCAAGCCGCACCTTAGCCGTATTGTAGCGGCGTTGAATTGTCTTTTATGCCGATCCCGGCTTTGCAACGTCAATGTCCTGTCACAGCATGCACAGCTTGTATGCTGTGCCCTACTCGGGCGCACGCTGGAATTTGCATGGGGGAGACTGGCTTACGGATTATGTTTTCCATTGCACCTACCACTGAGATTCCCTCACTCTGCCAAAACCCAGAAAATTGATGCCTCGGACCGACGTGACCTGTGACCCCCAAACTTTCTACCACTTCGTAGACAATAGGTCGCTGATTGTGGTATTGGGGGTACGTTTAGAACTTTTCAGCAACTCTTATCTTACTGCCTTCCCATCCTTCCAGATATCGGCGTTTATCGCCACCACTTCAGCTATATGTGCACTTTGCCTACTGGGAAATGTGTTGGTAAGGATTGTTATATGTCATCACCACATTGTGAACCTACAGGACCAATTTTCCCTTAGTATCGGTGGAATCGACATGGATGGAAGCGTCATTTCCGCCCTCTCGAAGTAACCTTTGCGTTCTGGATTTTTATGGACGTCATTCAGAGTTCAAGTCGTGCCCTGACATTTAGATGGGCCGTTTCGGGAGCAGTAGACCATGGAGGGGGGTACTGCATGGCTCAAGGTGGATATTGCGAAGGAGGAAAGCCATTGCGGGTGTTCTGACTGGTCTTTACATCTTTCAGGTGTGCTAGAGCAGTTTGGTGATGCGGGGACGGCCCTTGCAGCATTTTTAGTAGCTGTACTAGTCGTCTCATACTACCGCCGAGTCACCATGATCGTTGACCATCCAAGGGCCGTTTCATGGGTTTTAATTCTTTTCTTTGCGATGGCTCTGGTCAGCCTCATCATCCTACCCACCACTATGATTCGTAACTTCTATGGAAATGTTGGGCTCTGGTGCTGGATACTCCACGGTGGTGCGTCAAGAAACACGCTGCAGATAGCTTCTTGCTATGCGTTGATGCTGCTTGGAGCACTTGCATCGGTCGTTGGGTATGGCTATGTGTTTATAGGGACCCTCAATGAAACTAATCTGGCGAGACGGGATGGTGGGTCTGCGGATTTCCTCCCCATGTACACAGTGGAGGATGCAAAACGGATGATGTGGTATTCTCTTGGTAGGTGTTTTTTATCGGAAGCAGAGCATCTCGAATCCCTGACTTTTGCGGTTCCCCTGCCTAAGCGTACGTTATCGAAGTGGTGCCCTTTGTCATCATCAGACTGGTGACTTTCTATGCAAAGTTTCCATGCCCCGGGGTCCGAGCAGGATGGAATGTATTTGCAATCTCTTTGCTTGGGGCCTCCGGCCTCATCAACGTTCTTCTTTGGATAATCACTGGACGCCGGTTCGGATTTGCAACCGAAGAGGAACGAAGGAGAGATGTAGGACCAGCACATTCCGATTGTTCTTGTAGATGTCATGGCTGTGCGTAAGATCACGCTATTATGTTGGAGAACAGCGTGTCATTGTGTGGCTGTTTGCAAGCGCAAGTGCGATTGGACAACAGTGTTATATTCACCGCCTTTGATAAAGCATAAGCTGCATCGATGTTGCATGGTGTAAAGAAATGAAGCACTCCATTCGTCGCATCCAATGTTTTCATTCCTCACCTAGCTTCCTCGGCGTCGTAGTCAGGGATTTTGGTAGCATATTATTTCCTACCTTACGAAGGACAACATATTGATTGCGTGGCACCTGTAATCGAACGCCGGCTCGGCATAATTCAATTGATATGTTCGGCCAGTGAAGGGAGTAATGACCTGTGGAAGAGTGAAAAGGTAATGGAGCAACGTTGGTACGCACCTTGGACCATGTGAAACTCACCAGAAACCCCTCATGTGCTAAGGCTGAACAGATAACACAGGACTCTAGAGTCATTTCCAGCATTGGAAGGACAAAAGACGCAAGGGATAGTGAAAGGGGAGGCAAAGCTTCGGTGCCTCAACGGAGGATCTTCACTCTTAAACCACACCATTGGCATGATGTGGCACACTATGTGCGTCGCTTCAGGTTGAAGTGTGGAGAAAGCACCCCAATGTTCAGAGTTTGGACGATGTTGAGAGGGTCCGTTTAGGACACAGAAGGCCGACAGTCTTGGGCTCGATTAGACAGGAAGACCACTAGGCACCTTATTGCCAATGTGGCATGCTCAAACCACACAACGTGCAGCAGAGTAACCTCACGTTGTGGCGATTCCACATTATTTTCGTTGTTCACCCCTATGCTTTGACCATCACATGTGGCGGCAGCAGTATAAGCGCTACCGAACGAAATGGATATACACAATGATCGGACTTCGCTGAGAGCAGGCAAGTCCCCGATACGTACTCCTCAGAACACTGTTCGATGCTAATAATACGAGGATGCATTTATTTCAGGGTGAAAAATAGGATCAAGAATTTACGGACCTGTCGCACAGCAGCAGAGTGAGTGTGATGGATTGATACAGCCGAGCGTGGCATCAAATATATGGGTCAGTGTTGGCGGGAGATGGTTGCATGGCATCAACTGTACAGTTCTTACATGAGTGGCTCATACCTCGAAACTCATCCAAAACTGTCTGGACAGCTGAGGCGTCATAGCCTTTGTTGAGTCGTCGGAGCCGGGGATACATACTCGGTGTTTATGTGGAAGAATTACTAATCGCATACCTTACATGGGACCGCTCCGCAATAGATTCCATTTTGTATATAAATACGCACAGACGAACGTTCACAAAAAAACATCAATTTCCTTGAGTGTAACCACTGAGGCAGCGGATTGCCTTAAGTATACGGAATACCTACGCCTTGCGTTTAAAATTGTTTTGTATGGTGTCCGAGCACATTATTGCGAAGTCATAGAGGCTGGAGTCTTGCCTACAACAGTGTGTTATGTCACGACTTCGGAAGAGCGAGCGGGATCTTCAGTTAGCGCCCATTGTGTACTATGTAAATGTGGCTGTGACTTAAATTTTGAAATTGAGGGTTTGCAAGCGCGCGTCCCAATTGGAAGACCCCTGCCGATCTTAACCAATTAAAATCACTGCAATCTCAGTCCAGCTTTTGAGGTTGCTGATGGCCCTGACTCATGAGCGACGATGAACTGGGTATAAAATAAACCCAACAAGTCCAACAAATCCAATAACACACTCCACCTTCACCTCTCCAAGAGCATGCCGAGTGGGAACAACTTGAGCCGCGACCCGCGAGCGCCACCTAACACTCCATACTATTTTATAGATAACAGGTCAATTATTGTGGCTCTAGGTGTACGTCAGGATCGTCAGCCTTCTCGAGGTTGACTCACCATGCACCATGCCCCATGTTTCCCTCATCCTAGATCGCTGCGTACACAGCAGCTATTTCAGCTGGATGCGCAGTTTGCCTCCTGGGCTTCGTCTTGGTAAAGAAGTATCATCTTGTGTTACATCCCAAACCTTACGGCCATTTCTCAGTATCGATGGCATCGGCAGGGTTGGAAACGGCATTTTCGTCCTCTCAGCGTTGCTTTTGCATTCTGGATCCTCATGGACCTCGTTCTGAGCCTTTCCCATGCCCTTTCGCTTCGATGGGCTGTTTCAGGCAGAGTGGATCAAGGTGGGGAATACTGCATTGCCCAAGGTACATTCGCATGGGAGCGAGGAACAATCAGGAGGTGTTCTGACCAGCCACACACACACATTCAATCTTTTAGGGGTACTACTACAGTTTGGCAATACAGGGACGGCCATATCGGCGTTATTGGTAGTTCTACTGGTCGTTGGATACTATCGTCGCGTTAAGGGGATCGAAGAAAACCCAGGAACAGTGTCATGTTGTTTGCTTGCCTTCCTGATCACGTTCTTAATTACCCTCATCGTCCCGCCTGTCAGTGTGATATCGAATCTGTATGGGAACACTGGGCTTTGGTGTTGGATAGTCCATAGCGACCCTTTAAACTCCGGGCTCCAACTTGGCACCTGTTATGGATTAATGTGGCTTGTAGCACTCACATCGTTCCTGGGATATGGTTATGTGCTCATGGGAACCCTCAACAACCCTAACCCAAAGATACAGGAGGGAAGCGATAGCATCATCCTTCCCTCCTACACGGTGGAGGAGGCGTGGGGGATGATGTGGTATTCTCTTGGTGAGGATTTTCGCATTGAAAGCTGGATGTTGTGCGTCCTGACTTCATTTCGTTCCTTCTGCAAACACAGCGTATGTTTTCGAGGTGACGCCGATAAGCGTCATTCGACTGGTGCAGTTCGGCACGAAAGGTCCTTGTCCTGGGGTGGGACCTGGGTGGCTAATATTCGCAATCCCCTTGTACAGCGCCTCAGGCCTTATCAACACTATTCTTTGGTTGACAACCGGACGCCGATTCGGATTTTCGACCGAACAGGAACGAAGAAGAACTAATGGGCCACAGCGCCCTTGACTGTTCCGTCTTTCGCACGCTGCCGCAGTATCATGAATCTTAGGAACGTGGAGAGGGGTCGAGTAGAGATGATTGGCACTGAGTGACCAAAACTGCGTTCCAGGACTCATCTATTGCTATTGTATTTTATGTAGCATTCACCTTCCTTCCGATCTGCTTGTTGCTTTCCTACTTTATCGTCCACATGAGGGTGACAGCTTGGGCTGAGGCCTCGAGATTGAAGTTTTTTTTTCTGTTTTTCAGTCGCGCTCAAGTAGGATAGTAATTCCACACATGATGTAAGCCCTACTTGGGTGACAGGTTAGACGTCACACTTGAATTTAATCTCAGTTTAATCCCATTTCACGTGACTAATCAGGTGGATCCGCGCGCGCCTCAGAGGAGGCCGTCTTGTTCTGCACTGTCGCAGTGCGGATGGAACAAGACGGACGAAACCCTCCTCCGGGCCCAAACTTGGTCTCAGACCAGCTGCGGGAAGAGACAAGTTGCATCCGGGAGCGAGATAAATAGCGCACCTTATCCACTCCCCACCTGCCTGCGCAATCGTACTACAACGTCTAACTGGTAAGTTAACGGTAGTGCGATGAGGCTTCTAACCGTGTGTGCTGGCCCCGCTCCCCAGGCCTGCACACGGTTATCCCTGCTCTCGCTATCCACTAAACGCGCGCTTACTCTTACTTTCATAGTTCTTAACTGAATCTCCGCGCTTCCCACCTCCTTCCCCATCGCCTCCGTTGCGTTACATCATTTTTTCACTTGCTACCCTCTCCTGCATTTACTATTAATGTATTTAATTGACGTACGGCTCGCATCGCTGGCGCACAATCATACGCATTGCAGGTCCATACGGACCGTGTCCACTAACTCATGGACCGCTCACGGAACCGAACTGATTAGTCGGGATCACTTAATTCCCACCTGCCCTCTCGATATTACGTAAATCCTGCGCTAAATTGGCGCCGCTGACGATCCCAAGCCACGCGATGACATCGCCACCTTAGCTGCATCTCTATCCACATGCGCCCTTTGTAAAGCATGCTTGCAACCACACACATTCCTCTACTTCACTAAAAACATTTATCACAGAAACTTTGCGTGGTCCGGTTGTGTGGTAATCTAATAACGCCTACGATTGCTTGCTCTGCTACCCGACTGAACATCCTGTAGCATGATTCCCTGGCTTTTTTGGTACCATAGCTTCGAGAATGTACAGGGAAACAAAGAATGGAATGCTATGGTTGATGCTGCTTGGGGCACTTGGATCGGTCGTTGAGTATGGTCATGCGTAGAGGCTGGGAACCTGCCTAGGTTATGTGTTTATAGGGACCCTCAATCTGGCGAAACGGGAGGGTGGGTCCGCGGATTTCCTCACAGCGGAGGATGAAAAACGGATGATGTGGTATTCTCTTGGTAGGTGTTTCCTATTGGAAGCAGAGCATCTCGAATCCCTGACTCTTGCGGTTCCCCTGCACTAAGCGTACGTACGTTATCGAAGTGGTACCCGCATTTTGTTTTTTCTTCTCAGTTCTCTAAGTGCGCATGGCGCTCGCTCGCTAGCTCATTTCTAGTTGACTGCCTGTGGCTGTTTGCAGGCGAAAGCTCGATTGGACGGCAGTAAGTTCACCGCCTGTGACTGGGGGTGGTAAAATATAGGCTGCATCCAGCTAGCCACATTGCATGGCGCAGAGAAATGAAGCACTCCATCCGTCGCATCCAATGTTTTCATTCCTCACGTTCCTCGGCGTCATTGGTGACATCTCATGTACTTCACTTCTCGCCACCTTTATTGATTACGTGGCACCTGCAATCTGAAGAAGCCAGCCAAAGCACCACTGGTGCTCTACGATCCATCCTACACGCTTTCCACTTTGCTCCTTCACATCTCAGTCCCATTCGCCCCATTCGCCCCATTTCCATTTCGTGCCCCTCTTCACCTCCGAGTTTCACCCTGCTCCTGGTGTCTCAGCTCACCAATGCTTCCAATTATGGTCAATGAGTCTTCTGCATGTGTCTCGGCAGCCATATGTCCATGTTACTCCTTTGCGGTGAATATTCAGCGCGTACGCGCCGAACAGCAGGGACGTGTAGAATGCACGCTCATGCATTGGAGAGATTACCATGCTGTGTCTAATCATTTAGAGCAACAACCAAAGCGTTGCCGAGCATGACAACAACAATGCCTTGCACATCCATGTCTTCATGATTGCACGTCCCCTCGTCCCATCCCAATTGACAGTGGGTTTGACTGTCCCTTAGCGTCTAGAGTGATCACGGGCTCCTCCATCCGAGGCTCCATTCATCGACTCGGGGAAGCGCCTACCAGCTCTCAGGGCACCGCACATGTACCACCCGAGTGACGTACCGATATACGTCTAGAGGCATCCTCACTGCTCAGAGCGTTGTGCCTGAACTAATGTAACGAGTCTGACAGATGAACGCAAGAGCAAAGATGTCGTTGTGGTAACCACTGTTGGTCTCTGCGGGAGGTGTGCGAGCGCTAGGTGGTTCAAGTTCGGAGTGGCTATCGGAATGAACGGTCTCTGTGCAGGACTGATACTAACCATTGAGATGTAGGCTATTGAACGTGAGCGGAGAATCTCGTGAAACGTATAATTTGACGGATTTCGAAATCGTTCAGTTATAGAGTATTGTGAAGTTGATTTTGTCAACGCTTAAGCTGAGCGGGGGTGAGAAACGAACGTTTTGACATATAGTGATAGATTGATTTGCAACGAGTTCAGATCAGCACACCTTGTGATGAAGTGGTCGAGAACAACACGGACATTGGAGACATCATGTCAGCAAACTGTGGTTCTTGCGCAATTCTAATGGGTTGGATGAGTTCGAGGATGGGGAAGTGAAGTGGTCACAATAGAATGAGGCCATGTGGACCAACGCCGTTGGCCCCGGAGGGACTGCCAGGACTACCGATAGCGAAGTCTACCCCCTTGCAGAGAGATAACATTAAGGGGGATTACGATCTCGACGTTAATGTGACCCTCATTGAAGCAGATGATCGTTGCAGTGAATCAGATAAGATGTCATCACTGTCCGCAGTTAGCTTATGGTTCAAGGAATTTCCGTACAGATGGTGTATTCGATATCCTCGAACTTCACCGGGCTGAGTGTAGGATGTCAGAATGCTGTGGCATGGGATGAGGAGGAAGACAGATGGATCGTGTAAAAACCAATTAAGAGGAGGGCCGGAAGGCCGGCTCGGCATGATTCGACGGTATGTTCGGCTGGAGTAAGGACCTGTGGAAGAGAGACAAGGTAATAGAGCAACGTTGGTACGCACTTTGGAACATGTGAAAATTTCCAGGAAACCTTCCAGCGTTAAAGCTGAACAGATGATACAGGGCTCTAAAGCCATTGCCAGCATCGGAAGGATGGCCAGAGACGAAAGACGCAAGGAACAGTGAAAGGGGGGGGAAATCTTCGGTGCCTCAACGGAGGATCTTCACTCGTAAGAAGCAATGCACCACACCATTGGCATGGCGTGGCACGCCATTGAAAGGTATTGCTTCAGGTTGAAGTGTGGAGAAAGTACCCCAATGTTCAGAGTTTGGACGATGTTGAGAGGGTCCGTTTGAGATTACAGCGGACACAGAGGGCCGACGTCTCTGACGCTGCAAAAAAAAAGTGACCATTACTCGACATCGTAGGTGCTTTGGCGTGTTCGCTGCCTGAGGTAGCGAATTGCCTTATACGAAATCTCTTATAACGTAGTAAGAGCCATGCGTTTAGAATTGTTTTGTATGGTGTTGGAGATACAGCGCATTATGTCATGACGTCGGAAGAGTAGCGGGGTCTTCAGTTAGCGCCCGCTTGTCCGACAGGGGCACGGTGTGTATTATGTAAACGTGGCTGTGACATTAAGTCAAATTTTGAAATTGCGGCGCGTCCACACTCATGAACGACGACGGACTGAGTATAAAATGAATCCAACAAGTCCAACAACAACAACACACTCCACCTTCACCTCTCCAAGAGCATGTCGAGCGGAAACAACCTGAGCTGCGACCCGCGAGCGCCACCTAACACTCCATACTATTTCGTAGATAACAGGTCAATTATTGTGGCTCTAGGTGTACGTCAGGATCATCAGCTTTTTCAAGGTTGACTCACCATGCCCCATGTTTCCCTCATCCTAGATCGCTGCGTACACAGCAGCCATTTCAGCTGGATGCGCAGTTTGTCTCCTGGGCTTCGTCTTGGTAAAGAGAGATCATCTTGTGTTGCATCTCAAACCCTACAGCCATTCTATTCGCAGTATCGATGGCATCGGCAAGGTTGGAAACGGCATTTTCGTCCTCTCAGCGTTGCTTTTGCATTCTGGATCTTCATGGACGTCATTCAGAGCCTTGCCCATGCCCTTTCGCTTCGTTGGGCCGTTCTAGGCAGAGTGGATCAGGGTGGGGAACACTGCATTGCCCAAGGTGCGTCCGCATGGGGGCGAGGAACAATCGGGAGGTGTTCTGACCTGCCACACACACATGTGCCATTAAATCTTAGGGGTACTACAGCAGTTTGGCAATACAGGGACGGCCATATCGGCGTTATTAGTAGTCCTACTGGTCGTTGGATATTATTGTCGCGTCAAGTGGATCGAAGAAAACCCAGCAACAGTGTCATGTTGTTTGCTTGCTTTCCTGGTCACGTTCTTGATTACCCTCATCGTCCCACCCGTCAGTGTGATATCGAACTTGTATGGGAACACTGGGCTTTGGTGTTGGATAGTCCATAGCGATCCTTTAAACTCCAGGCTCCAACTCGGCACCTGTTATGTATTAATGTGGCTTGCAGCACTCATATCGTTACTGGGATATGGTTATGTGCTCTTGGGGACCCTCAACAACCCTGACCCAAAAATACAGGAGGGAAGCGACAGCATTATCCTTCCCTCCTACACGGTGGAGGAGGCATGGGGAATGATGTGGTATTCTCTTGGTGAGAATTTGCACATTCAAAGCTGGATATTGTGCGTCCCTAACTTGCTTCTGCAAATACAGCGTATGTTCTTGAGGTGACGCCGATAAGTGTCATTCGACTGGTGCAGTTCGGCACGAATGGTCCTTGTCCCGGGGTGGGACCTGGGTGGCTGATATTCGCAATCGCCTTGTACAGCGCCTCAGGCCTTATCAACACTATTCTTTGGTTGACAACCGGACGCCGATTCGGATTTTCGACCGAACAGGAACGAAGAAAACCTTATGGGCCACATGCACAGCACCCTTGACCGTTCTGTTCTGTCTTTCGCACGCTGCTGCAGTATCATAAATTTTAG